CAGAGAGGTGAGAAGCTGAACGAAGATAATCGCCTTCCAAGTAAGGGGGCAATGAAGTGAGAGTCGATGGAGGAATGAGAGGAGATAAAAACAATTACTTAGAGAACGTCATTTTCACCCCAGCCCCAGTCATTTGGTGTTCGTGTTGGTGGTGTAGATTATAACCACAACGAAACATCGAGATGTAATGGAAGTCTAAATGCCTATTAGAAGGTTTCTCTTTTTTACTGGGATCTAGTCTCTTAAGTTAAAAACGGAAGAAGTCGGAATAGATAGTTAATTAAAAACTCACTAAAAATATTTCACACCTTTTGGGTTTCCTAGGAGGAAAGGAACTAGGTAAAAAGAATCTCAAAATTTTAGTTACCTTTGTTGATAAAAAAGTTATGTCCAAGGTTTAGTGCCGGTTGATGAGAGCAAAAAAGCTGATGATTCCACCGAGAGAAAATCGTGGCAAATGAGCACCCTCAAATCTGGTTGAGGTGGAATTTGAATTTAAAATTTCTAAGCCACGTATCTGATAAGTGTGTTCCTAAATCTCCTCTGCTCCTTAATTTTTTTCATGAGGAATGGATACACATTTTTCCTTATGCCGCAATCACACGCTGAATGTGGCTTGAATGTGGAAGTCATCGGCCCGATGCCTGAATTTTGCACGTGACGCGCAAAATTATGCAACGATTCTCAGCAACCATCGGACTGATGTTGGATTTGTCTGAACTATTCGAGTGATTTGAAACACATCTGGATGAAAATAACTCGAATTTGCTCAATTTCAGCCGTTGGGCGATGACTGTTGACTTCTACATTCAGCTGCTAAATTCAGCGTGTGATTGCGGCATTAAATGTTCGTAGAACATCCTCTACACATAGAGTCCTTTTATGGAGAGAGTTAAGACAACGCGCTCATACATGTCACAAACTGGAATAAAGATTACACAAAGTGGACGTTTTTTGTAATCTTTGATCAACCCATTCGCGAATTCCTATCTACGTTCCCTCTCTCCATTCCATTTGCTCTTTGCCATACCCCCAATATCCTGGTCCGTTCCAGATTATAATCTTTGCAATTGGTGAAATTCTAATCTCTATTCCCGTTTGTGTCACAGTGAAAGCCTAAAATACGGGAACCGCTCAGAAATGGATTCGCATTGTCTTTACTCTCTGTATAAAGGGGCCCTATCCACACAGAGGAGAAAAATCACTGAAGTTTTTGAGATATGACATCAAATGGTTTTTTATAGAAATCAGAAAGCATGACAGGAAGCCTGCAACGCTGCAAACAGAGATACGTTGTCTGGAAATGTCATCGACGATGTACCACTAGACGCAATGAAGGACACTTAAAAAAGAACGGAGAGATCCGAGAGAAGAGGTTGTGGGAAAGGGTCTTGAAATGCACAACTCTCTCATGTGCAACCGAAAGGACAGAGCTGACCGGTAAGGCGCTAGTCACTAGAAAACTGCGTCAGGTCTTCCTCCTCTCCAGGGAGCCACGGAGCCTGTGACTGTCGTACTTATGTCTGTTGCTAAGACATAAACGCAAAATGGTCTCAGACTTTAAGCTTAAAGTCTAGAGCATTTTTTTTTTTTTTTTTTTTTTTTTTTTTTTTTTTTTTTTTTTTTTTTTTTTTTCTGCTGGTTTTAATGGCTTCGTGTCTATAGCACCTTCAGCCAACTTTAGACAATGTTTAGTGTCCGTAGACATCAGGCTCCATGCTCCAGGCTTTACTAATTTTCAGGGATTAGGGCCGAGGAGAATCTGTTTCAGCAGATCTACTCGTCAATTCCGTGAAAATTAGACGCCACCACCGGGATTCGAACCCGGGACCTATTGACCTAGAGTCAGACGCGCTGACCACTAGGCCAACCTGGCCGGCATCTAGAGCATTTTCCGTTATCTTTTTGCTACGGAATAGAATAGTATTAGCAACTTGGAGGTTTCGGTGAGTCAGGACCTGAAGGCTACACGCATGGAAAACTTTAAATCTCTCTAAATGCGATTTGTCTCCACCGGCCGGCCATAGAATCACGAAAAAAGCGATGACTGAGACCAAAATTGAGGATTTTCAGCATACTTTTAATTGCGGTTTTTGACTTATGCTAAACATTTGTATTTTACAGGATATTTTTCTCATCGCGGTACGACTGAAAACTAAGGACCGTCAATAAACATGAAACTGGGACTTTGACTTCTACTGCTTACTCGTATTTCTTGGGATTTTTTTTCAATTTTTGGAGGGATCATTTTCAGGCTTTATTCCAGAGAATCGATTTATTTCTTTATCAGTTTTACTTGTCAACATATTTTTACCTTCTTTCAGTTTCCACTTTGTGTTTAGAGCATAAAACGCAATACAGCCAAGCATAAACTGAGGGAAAAAATGCGAATGCCATGTCAAAGGAATTAAACAAAGAAATAGAGCCTAATATTTGGAGATGACCATGTGAACTTTATTGCCAACATATTATTTTTTTCACTCCAAATATTATCAAATATTTGTATTATCTAAATTTTATCAATCGTACTATCATTCTTTAGGGGTGATATTTCAAATAGTTGAAAGCATCAGAAACTATTCTGATAGCATTACATTTTCAGCGTCCTCGGTGAAAAACATTTTTTCAGGTTTCTCAGAGGGCTGATTATTGAAATAAATAGACAAATAAAAAAATGAAGCAATTAAAAATAAATAAATTAAATAGATAGCTGAAAACCAAGGGAAAATGTAGCGGTATTTTTGGTGGAAGAGGGTGTTAGCGATGGACATAAAATCAGACTGATTTACCGCAACTCATGAGAGATCCTGTAGTCAGCCCATCATTTCCCCCTCAGTTTATAGAAACCACCCGCTCCCTCAAACAGCGGAGTGATCATTGAAATTGATAGACAAAGCTATAGACAAAGAAGACAAAAGGGATATGGAAGGATCCTATTGGTGGAATCGGGTGGTTGTAATGGACAAATGAGGTAGGCAATAGACTAGCTAACGGCAATCCACCAGAGACCCTTCAGTTAGTCCATCATTTTCTCCCTTAGTGTATAAAAACCACTAATCTCAACCAATAGGATCGCTACATACTCCCTATGTTTTCTTTGTCTATATCTTTGTCTATCAATTTCAATAATCAGCCCACAGGCTCGCTCCATTTCCCCTTTGTCTTCTTTGTGTATCGCTGTGTCCATCAATTTCGACGATGAGCCCGCTGAATAGGCATTGCTCGACAAACATGTTTAAATGCGAAATATGAATTTAAGCAGGATTAGAGCAACATTCGGATATCGATTTACGTCTGGGCTCATATTCACCTTAAAAAGAGAGGGCTTTGTCCAGGAGAAAAGGAGAGAACGAGGTCTGCGGGGCTCCATTAATTTCCGACTCGTGCCTGAGGGTGGCAGGAATGGGGAGGGAGGGGCGGCGGCCGACACAAAAAACGGCGCGAAAAAATTGGGCACAAAAACGAGCGACGCGACGGCCGACGGGGCCGCAAAGGGACACGAGGGACACTCGTCCAAACAGGCTTTTGCCCTGCTTTACATACTGCCGCGTTGAGAAAAAAACGCCGTATGAGCCTTCAGGCGTTGCCAAATTCCCCTCGATAAAACACCAATTTCCAGGTAAACTTAAACATATTTTTCCTCCAATTTTTCTGATAATTTTGTTCGCAAATACACCAAAAAGTCCTGAGAATTTAGAGGAAGAAAATTTATAACTTTTCTCAAAAATGAACTTTTTATCGAGGGAAACTTGGCAACTCTCGAATGTTCATACGGCGTTCTTCCGTAGCACGACAGCATAGATTTCCACAACGTTTGGCCACGTTCTGCAGTTGCACAGTGGGGGGGAGGGGCGAATTAGGAGCTCCCTTGCCGGCTAGTAACCTTTTTCTTCCCCTTCCTCTTCTTGCTAAGCGAGAATCTGCACTCTCAGAAACGGGCCGTTTTCTCGAACTTAGAATGTAGAGTACCTTTGACTATAGACCGGAGTAAATGATTGTGAACTCTCGTATCTCTCCGATAGTTGCAGTTTACAATAAATAGGCTTACGGAGGTTTTCACAAAGGGAATACGCGAGTGCATCCGTACAGTTTCCGGCTGTTCCTCCGAAAACCTTCTGTTTGACCCCTAATTACTAAAGTTTCTCCCTTGCGAAAATTGGCCATTCTACTTATTTCCTTCTGTTTCTACTTCTCCTTCTTAATTATGAATTTCATCGGGTATTATGAAGTTTATTTCTTACAAAAGTTTGTCAGGGTTTATTTTTTTTATTTTTTTTTATTTATTTTTTTTAAACTGTAATTTTCATCTAAATGTATCATGCGGTGCTACAGGTAACGGAAAAGGTTCGTTATGGGGATAAACATTGGAAAAGCCTGACTGCGGCTAGTATCTCGGCAATGATGGAAATGTTTACTTTCGAAGCTCCATCATTCAACTGTTGACATAGGTTCCTTGATCGCTGTTGAACAACGTGCCAAGCGATTTGTTCAGCAATCAAAGCGTTGTATATGTATAATGTGCTTGTTGGTTTTATTCCGAGACCGAAAAACCAAGAAGAAAGTAGGTAACTCTTGCCCCTATCACCTTTCTACCGGGCAGAGGGCTGAGACCCTCTTGCTGTGAGTAGCAGTTTCCATCCGCCGCCAAAAGCCCTGGATAGACGATCAAAGTCCCGAACCAATTCCGATCAAAGTAGCATCAAAGTGTCTGGAGTCATCAGTCTTAAACTCATTAATTTGCTTCATTTTAAAATGAAAACTTGGCAGAAATGTTTCCTGTGGCAGGAAATGATGAATGGTGGCACTCCATTCTGATCTTACTTTGAACAAATAAGTGCGGCCCGTCAGATGGTAGTGACCATCAGTCATCAGCATGTCTACTTTGATCGGAATTGGTTCGGAATTTGATCGTCTATCCAGAGCTAAACGTTTGTTCATTGTCTCTTAGCGATAAGAAAAAGGAAGATCGATAGAAAATAAGTACTGATGAAGGAACTTACCCGTAAAAAAAATTGAGGAAATTGTAAGAAAGACTGCTGTTTGGTTGCTTGATGGTGGACTGCCAACAGGTGTGAACGCTGGGACCGTTGGCGGAGGCGTTGCACCAAGCGTCGAGGGAACTGAAGAAACTGCTCACCATCAACCGGAAACAGTTCTCGACGAACATCTGGTTCACTTTGATGGGCAGCGGTCGGATGGCCAGGAGACCGACCGGGAGCCCCTGACTCGCGTTCCTCCCCGACGAGTTGAACCTCTTGTCCACCAAGGACTGGCTCGCTAGATTATTTACAGACGGATAAAAACTATTGGTGCTATCGGGTTTCCTGTTGAGGATCCAACGCCTGGACCTGGCGGTTCCGTTCCGTTGTTCCTTCTTCCAGGAGTGAGCAAACGACACAGGCTCCGTCGGCGAGCGCGGGGCAGTGAAGTTTCGATCCGGGGCTCCGATCGCTGGAGCTTCCGGCGGAAGTGCCGCCGAGTTTCCGGTCTCGTTTCCGGTGTGGCCGCTTCCGTTTCCGGTTAGGCCGCTCCCGTTTCCGGCGGGACGGCTCCGCTTGGCCTGGGGCTCTTTGAGGATGACGTTGACTTTGTCGGCGGGAGTATCACAGTCGGTGTGGCGCGAGGGCGAGGAGGCGGAGGCGGAGGAGGCGGTGGAGGCGGACGGAGAGAGAGGAGGATGGCTGACCCGGGCCGCGGTGTCGACCCAGATCCAGACGAAGTCGCCGTCGGCCATGTTGAGCCGCTTGGATTCGGCCAGGATCCTCTTGGTCATGAGCTCGCTGCAGATGAGTACCACAACGCCCTTCGTCGAGCGGGACACCTCCGTCAGGACCCTGCAACAGCCCAAGAACAGAGAGTATTAAGAAGAGTATTTAGAAAATAACCCCCATTATTCATCCATCTTCGGAGCTCCGTCCAAGATTACAATCAAAGAGAAAACAGATAGTGGACACATTTCAATCGAACAGATTTATGTGCAGGTGAGAAATATGGGGTGTGCTCGTCAGTTCTCCGGCCGTAAGAGTGAATGAGAATAATAAAGCGCCAATGACGTCAACGGAGATGGATGTAGTGGTCATCAACTCATGAGCTCTGTCCACAACGCTCTCATGCAATGCCCGCGGCTCTAATATCCCGCATTCACTTGGCACATAGTCAGGCCCGCCACAAGGGGGGAAAAATCTCTTTGACATGAAGTTTCTTAGTTCTTTCGGTTCGAGCAGTAGAAACCATTTGCAACTTGCCCATACTTGTAAATAACAAATAAATAAAATAAAATAAAATAAAAAAAATGAAATGAAGTAAAATAAAATAAAATAAAATAAAATAAATTAAAATTAAATTAAATAAAATAAAATAAAATTTGGCAGTGATGCGCCCGGTGACCGGGGAACGGGAGCGATGAGGAGCGGAAAAAAATGACAAATAAAGAATGAGCATAAACTTGTCGTCCTCACGTAGACGTTGCCCCGTCGTGTGGAAATTCCCGCACGACTCCCCTTATAAATCAACGTAAAACAGGCAAGTTTATCACGCGACCGAGGGACCGTCCCGTCCCGCCCCCGCGACGCGACGTTCGGCGTGTCAATTGTCAAGGGTGCGGTTAGATGCGCGCGGGGCCCGGAGATGGAAACCCACCCCCCAGCGCCCGCCGCCCCGGCTCAATCCTCAACCGCCCCACTTCACTTTATTTCTGTCATACACATTCTTAACTGGTTAACCCGCACTCCGCACAGCGGGGGTGCGGTGAATTTTTAAAGCATCCATCTTGGAATTTTTGACGTCCAGGATAACTTGTTTAAACGCGAAACGCATCCGAGCGGAAATAGGGAACGCATCGAGAGCGTCGCCTTGTTTTAGGGGTCGTTCATAAGATGCGTAACGCTCTAGAGTAGGGAGTCTCGGCGAGCGTTACGCCAATTTGTTTTTACGTGTTAAAGGATAGGGAGCTGCGTCGCAAAAGCGTTACGGAGGGGGGGGGGTCGAAAAACCAAAAAAATAAGCAAGTCGCGGAATGAGTCCATTACTTGATCAGGTATCAATGTTTGTGTGTGCACTTACTCACTTTTTTGTTACTTTAAATTACAAACAAGGAAAGGCGACAAAATTTCTTAATCCCCGAGAGCATATGGGATGAAAAGGAGGAGCCCTCGGCGCGGCGGTCGGCATGTTACACATATTAGCGCCCACAAGACTGCATGAATACTTCACGCATTGCGCCAAACACACTGCGGTCAGCAGCGGTCGATGAGAAACGCGTAGCGCCTACAAGGATGCATGAATACTTCACGCATTGCGTCAAACACGGTGCGGTCTGCGCGGCGCGGCGGCGGATGATAAAATTTTTAAACCACATTTATGTTTGTTCTCTTATAATTTTTCCGTTGATTTATTATAAATGGAGGGCCCTGTCCGCACAGAGGTAGGTTTACGGAACTTAACTTTCGCCTAAAGTTCCGTCAACTTTTGCTAGTGGTGTCACAGGGCTTTCTCAAAAAATGTGTCCAACACGAGTAAACGCGTCTTATGAACCCCTCCCCCTCCGGCACGTTCACTTGATGGTTTTTAATGTGTTTCAAAACGAATGAGAAGGGTGCGGCAAAATACAGGTGGCCTATGGGCGGCAAGTCGGTAAATCCGGCCCTGGAGTTTTGAGTTAGATTTTTGAACGTAAACTGGAATTTAACATAAGAACGTGAAAAATGAAATTTAACAATTTCACAAAGGAAGAATACATTATGTGAAAGATAAAGGTACCATGATTGTAAAAAGTGCGCTAAAATAAACAAAAACATAAGAGTATTAACAAACAAAAATTGAGAAAAATAGAAGCGCTTCCCGCCGCATAAAATGGTGGATCTACCCATAAAGCAAAGCGGGGTTTTTCCGGTACAGAATGCCACATGCCACAATGTGAAGTCTTGAGTCGAAAGAAAACTCCGGAAAGAGCGCCCACTACGCATGCCGTGGTGAAAGCTCAATATCCAAATATAATACGAGTGATAATACTCCGTCTCTCTATGAGCTTTTGTGGAAAGTTTGTTCTTAAAGGTCTGGTAGAGAGAGAAAGATGGAGTTAGAAACTGCCCCTCGAATGACACCTTTGGGTGCTTTTAGTGGACACAGTCTTCGAAATATTCGAAGGGTTGCGCAGCACGTATCTCTATCCCTTCAACAAATGAATGTCTTTCTGCCGTGAAAATAGTATTCATAGGGCATCGGACATTGCGAGGATTCTGAAAAAAAACTAAAACTGCCTAAACATTCCTAAACTAAAAATGAAAGCAGAATAGTGTTTGGAAAAAAATCTCGAATTCGATTCAGCTATTCATTCTGTATCGAATGCAAAATTTTTTTCCAAACACTATTCAGCTTTCATTTCACTGAATTTTTCCGATTTTTGGGTTTAGAATGATTCTTTAAGCTCATGCGCAGGGGGCTATCGACCTTTTTCTGCTAAAAATTCAAAATCTACCGAGATTTTTGACCTAATCGATGCGATGTATCGCATGCCAGCTCGACCACGCCACTTGAGATTGACGAATCACTTTAAAGGACGTAAAGCTCGCACTCACTGCCATTGGTTAAAATTATGAGTCACCAATACGAGAAACAAAGCCAACTAATGATACAACTTCAAAAACAGAGTTGAGAACTCGAGTTGGAGAATGTTATGGGAGTGCAGATAAGATAAGTCTGACTCGACCCATTTCAGATTTATTTACCTGAATGAACAGGTCCGAAGTTTTTGGACGAATCAAAACCCCAAAAACTCGATACTTATATCGAAACTGCTTTCGAATGCGATAGTTTTCCTCTGAAAAAACCACACCTTTATTACGTTGAATTTGTTCGTCAAAATTGGTACGTGAATTCTTTTGTCTCGTGACAACAGAATCGCGATCCAAAAATGCGAGAGAAATGACGAAAAATGGAATCAATCGATACGATATATCGCATGTCGTTCTGACACAAAATATGACGTCCATCGAATTACCTTGAATTCATACCTTGTCAAAAGGCCTATTTTTTTGTCGGGGAAAAGTTTTCAGGGGCCTTAAAAAATAAGGGATAAAAGCGGTGGCGTGGCGTGTTTTGCGATATCGATTTTTATGCCATTTAAACCTATAGAAAAGGATCGATAATCAGGGTGTTCGCGGCGAACACCTTAGTGATCGATATACTTTTCCATAGGTTTAAATGGCACAACAATCGATACGTCGCAAAACACGCCACGCCACTGAATAAAAGAGGTTGGAAAAAACAAATGAAGGAAATAATACATGCTGTGTGACAAGGAGAGGACGGTATTAGATTTGGCAAGAGAGTTTTCACGGATTAGGTTTGTCGAGAGGAGCGTGACTGAGGGAGGGTTTAGCGTGGATACGTACACACTATCTTTCATCACCTCGGTTCATTGTAGTCGCTGGCTCATCGCTAATGAGATTCCTCTTGATGTGCGCTGTGCGTGGCAACTTTTTCCCAGCCAGACGGAACACAGATCCTGTTACAGACTCATTTCCCTCTCAATGCGGATATTAATCTCCAAGAGAACTCCGAGTCGCGACGCTGATGTTTCAATCACGAACCTGCCGGAAAACACCACCGTAGTCTCGCTGGATAATGCTATTAAACAACCCCTGATTGAAATATGAGTCCAATAGTTCGAAATTAATTTTCATATATCTTAGGAGTGATATAAAATTTCACGCACGGAGATGAGAAGTTCACTTTATACAGAACAACGAAGTTTTCCGGCCCAGGTAACCGAAACTTTTGGATCCAGTAACCAAATTTTTCGGTCATGGATACCAGCTGACCGAAATTCACACGCCGGAAAACTTCAGTTCCTTAAAATGGAAAAGTTCGGAACCCAATACGAACCGAGGTTCAGAGTCTGTCTGAGATGTTTACCTCTGCGTAGGAGCGTTTGACGGAGTTAAAATTTGCTATCAAATAAAAGCTGCAGTTTGACTCCAAAAATTACATAGAGAAAAAACAGGAGGTGTTTGCATTTCGAGCATCTTGGAATTTTTTTGATGACTATATGAGTTTGATATGTTTGGTGTGTGTGATGTGTTTGTTGTGTTTGGTGTGTGTGATGTGTTTGCTGTGTTTGATGTGTTTAGTGTGTTTGGTGTGGTTACTGTGCTTGTTGTGTTTGATGTGTTTAGTGTGTTTGATGTGTTTTTTGTGTTTGGTCTGTTTGATGTGCTCAGTGTGTTTAGTGTGTTTGATGTGTTTGATTTGCTTGATGTGTTATTGTGTTCTATATGTTTGATGTGTTTTTTGTTGATGGAAAAAATGTATTCTACATAAAGTGTTTGAAATTATATCATGAGTTGATTTAAGGAAAAAAATCGGACACTATGGTCCGTTTTTCATACTTCGAATTCCGGATTTTGCTGACCAGGTTGCACCGACCTAAGTCACAGGGTACACAATCCTCAAGATGCAAACACCTCCTTTTTTTTCTCTATGCAAAAAGTACGCTTGTGCGTCCAACTAAGCGATACTCCTTCACACCAGCGAAGGAGTTAAGTAGACCCGTCGAAAATCTTTCGATAAGCGAAGGGAAAAATCAGCCCGGTGGAAAGCGAGGCACAAAAGACGAAGAAGCTGGAAGGAGAATTCAAAACCAGCCGATGTGATTAATGATCGGGAATGTAAGGGAGGGTAGGCAAGGATGGGAACGGTGCTGTACTGCGGGCGGTATCACAATGGGTCCGTCCGGCGCGGCGTCCGGGTCGGGACCTGGGGTATCGCTGCGTCGCACGGTGGGATCGGCCATTGGCAACATAAGCCATGACATTTTTTGCGAAAACTGAAAATT